AAAAATCAAAAAAAAAAAAATTAACCCATTTCTATTGATCTATAAGTTGCCACGTGGTCATGGCTTACCAGTCTGCTGGCATGTTGTTCCTTCAGTGGTGGCTGGCATCTGCTTTTTCCTCTCCTTTCTCTTCCTGTCTATCTGTTTGGATTTTCCACCTACCTCTAAGCTGCCTTGCCATAGGCCAAATGGCTTTATTTTTTAACCAATCAGAGCAACATATTTTCACAGCATACACAAAGACATTGCCCCATCAATCTCCTGCAAGTTGTCTTTTAATCTTCAAGCATGGAGAGAGAGGACCACACACAAATAAAAGTAAAAAAAAAAAAAAAAAATTAAGTGTATTGTCTAAACTTCTGTATCTAAAACTGTCTCTTGTAACAATTATCTACATTTCTTTCTTTTGGGGAGGGGGGATGTGGAGGGGCCCCAAAACAGCTTGACCACACAGCTGCCATGACAGGCTTAAAGGCCCAGACCCAGCTTCTGTGACAGGCAACACCCAGACCCAGGGAAAGCCATAAGCTGACCCCACCCAGGGAAAAGTACCTGACATCCCAAGCATTCCAACCATCAGACAAGGTGGCCAGATGTCCCAGAGTCTAGCACACACCTATTTCTGTTTTACAGATACCCCCAGACAAATGTCAGCCAATCAGGGTCCTGAACCCTGGAAGTCCCCTCACCCCAACCTCTGCTCTGATTAAAAAAAAAAAAAAACAAAAAAAAAACAAAAAAAACCCCACCCTGCCTGGGCTCTGGGCTCTGCTCTCACCCCTGGAGCCTGAAGATAACAAAGACTCTTTGCTTTTACATATGGGATTGAGGCTCCGCGGCAGTCTTTTGGGGACCCCCGAGATTTGGGCACAACAGGAGAGCCGAGTCTTGCTGTGTAGCCCAGGCTGGCCTTGAACTCCTGGTCCTTCTGCCTCGGCCTCCCAGGGGCTGGGACTGCAGGCTGCACCATCATGCCAATTTCACCCAAGGTTTTAAAAGGGAAACCAAACCAAACCACTCTCAACCTTTCTCTCTTGGAGACCCTAGTTCAGGGAGTCTGGATTAGGGGGCTGGGAGTCTGTATTTTTACCAACATTACAGGTGGTTGTTAAACTCAGCACATGCACCTTTGAAAGTTACTTCCATCACAAGACTCGATGGTTTCATTTAAGAATTCATTCATTCATATATTCACTTGTCTCACTATAACTTCATGTTTATTGGAATTTTGTACGCAGAAAGCAAGAATTAGAATCAAAAGCAGTCTCAGAATTATTTCTTGAACTTTAACCAAAAAATGTGTATTTTCCCATATAACCCAAAGCAAAATAACTATTCTTATAGTTGATGGTGGTTTGAGCCTTCTGTATGCTTTCTACCGTTATAGACACAGGGCTTACTTTAAAAAGATAGGGGAGAGAGAGAGAGAGAGAGAGAGAGAGAGAGAGAGAGAGAGAGAGAGAGAGAGAGAGAGAGAGAAACAGCCAGGACATCTGGAAGAGTCCAGGACAGAGAGAGAAAGAAGTAGACTGGCCCTGGCCAGGGCTGTCTGCGAGGGCGAGGGATGCACAGAAGGGGACAGGAATAGAGAAAATAGTGAGAGAAGCAGGAGCAGACTACAGAGAGAACATAGCGAGAACAGCAGTATTATAAGGAGAATGAGTAGCTTTGGGGGAGGGAGTCTGTGAGCTGGAGGGAATTTGCAATCCTCCTGTAGTCCAGGCTGAGCTCATTTCTGGATATTTGAAATGCTTTCTGGAGTCTGGAGAACTGGAGTTTCCTTGGGACCTGACAGTGGCGTCATGTCTTTGTGGAGCTACAATTTAACCGGAGGTACAACTTGTCCAGCAGTGCGAGCTGACAGTTACATACACAAGCTGCTCATCTGAAGGTCATTTAATTCTCACAGCTCTATGGTGGTTTACAGACAGGTTAGCCTGTCGGTAACATCGCTGAGCTAGCAAATGATGGAGACGGAATCACACACTAGTCTGTTATTAATCACATGGCCTCGGGGAGCTCACAGGGACTCGGCCTTACGCTTCTAGTTCACAGCACGGCTCTGCAGAAAGAAGAATGCTTTGGAAGCAATGCAGAGCGGGGAGACTCCAAGGTGACTGCACAGCTCCTGGCTGCAGCGAAAGGAAGGAAGTTGTTGTTAGGACGAAAGTTAGTAAAGAGCTTGATGAAAGAAAGAAAGGGGAGACAGGGAGCTTCCTGGTGCAGAGCTGCGGAAGGAGATGTGCTGTGTTCACAAAGCCTGTGGGCATGCAAGTGAGGTTAACCAACTCCTCTCCAGACTAGATAATAACGTCTGACTTTTAATTACAGTTGAAAATTTTAGTTTCATATTAACGTCTGTTTGTGTGTATGATGTGAGTCCGTGAGTCCGGGCAGGCACGTGCCATGCATGCCAGGGTCAGAGACAACTCTTAAGAGTTAAATCTCTTTCACAGTAGGATCTGGGAATGTGGGGTTGTCAGGATTGCACATGGAGTGCCTTTTCCTGATAAACCATCTTGATGGCCCAATAGATGAGTAACTAAGGCTAGAGGTGAGGATCTAGGAACTATTACATAAAGATTCAGTTAACATTGACTAGGTATCCACTATATGCCCAGGCAGTGTCTAGTTTATGATATACTTTATTTA